ACGACCACGACCACGACCACGACCACGACCACGACCACGACCACCACGACGATGACGACGACGACGACGACAACAACAACAACAACAGCAGCAGCAGCAGCAGCAGCAGCAGCAACCACAACCACAAACACAAACACAAGCACAACCACCACAACCACCACAACCACCACAACCACCACAACCACCACAACCACAACAACCACAACAACCACAACAACCACAACAACCACAACAACCACAACAACCACAACCGCAACGACGACGACCGCGACATATCCGAAACTTGAGACTGGGCAAGCTGAAAGCTTGCAACGTTTGGCTGAAAACGGCCCGGATGGCCCACAAACTGCCTAGGATTTAAATGAGCCAAAAGCAGCTACCACCGTCCTCCCGCCTTTCCCGATTCGAGGCGAGCATTTGGGATAAATTAGGATTTGGTCCTTTTCAGGAGTAACCTGCATTGACTGGGAGAGTGACCAACGCCCCACCCCCCACCTCTCAATTGGGATAACTCCAGGAGTGCCCCATTTACGACGCCTTTGACTGGCACGCTCCGCTAATGCCTGCGTTGATCCTGGGATCAATTTACCTGATTGGGGTTCCAGTGATCACAGGGATATTCGGAGCATGCGTGCCTTGGATAAACTTCAATACTGCTCAGACTTCAAGACCCCGCCAGCTGCTTGGACTGCCTCACGAGAGGTGCAGCTTGACTCAGGTGACCTGCAGAGATAGATTGGACCCGGAATCGAAGAGGAACGAGAAGAACATGGGCGTCGGCAAGCAACCAGATACGGGCGAGAAAGTGATGGCTGAAGAGGACAAGCCCTCTTCACCTGAATGTGCCTGAGGTGATGCGGAATCTTTTGAGCATGACCCACAGCATACTGTAGAGAACTGCAAGTACCCCATGGGTATGAATGGGCAATTGCAAAATTGCAAGAGTTTCCCTTAGGGAAGCTTCCTAGGCCACTTGGCAGCCTTGCTGGAGCAGGAAAAATCCCAGCCCTGCCAGAATAGGCAGCGTTGCAGCAGCGGCACGCAATGCAGTTGGCTGACCTGCGGGATCACATTATTCGCAGCACATTGAAACGAACTGTCTCTATCCAATGTTTGGATATGTGTGCTGCTTCCAATCCAAGTGCATCACTTGCCGACTTGGGATGTCCGGTTCCTTTCCGCTTCGCACGGCTGTCGGGGACCCAAAACGTTGCCGCTCTCCAAGACCTGGGTCGCTCCTGGTGCCCGTTGTGCAGTGAGTGAATCAGGCGGTCAAAGAAGGAGCGCCTGCTTTCAGCAATACCCTATTGTCATGGCTGGACTTCTGTGGCGTTATCTTTGCTCGGAGCAGATGCCGCAGAATTGGTCGGGAGAGCGGCTCGAAGGATGACTGACCCAAGCACCGCTTGAAGAAGCCGGGTGGTTTGCACATGGCCGGCGGCCCCAGAACAGTCTGCCAGGGCCTTCTTGGCAAGAGCCTGGCACAGTTCTTCAGAGGCTCCGCGATCCTATTGCATTTTGACCAACCTACCTGAGATGGTCGACTTCAAACTGCTTGAGGCCAGTCTCCCTTGATTTCAAGTAAACGTCCCACAAGTTCAGCTTGGCCAGTGAAATCAATGAGGGCGCTCAACTGGTGGAATCCTCAAGTGTTGTTCCATGACTACGTAGCTTGCTTAGAACACGTGGTTGAAGCTGCTGAAATACTGAAGGTCCAAGATATAAGTTAAGTGATATAAGAGTTATGGTGTCCGTGCCCGAACTGTCCTGAATGGGCTGACGAGCTTAGGAGACCACGCCAGTTTTGAAGCTGGGGCAGGCGGGGATGTTGCGTGCGACTCAGTTGCATGATGGCACTTCCGCCACTGTTTTGGAGCATCTCAATTTGGGCCTCTGCCGTCCTGCGGGGTTGCATCGCAGTTGCTACCGGCCCCAAGAATGCGCGTAGCTAGCCGCTCTCCTTTGCGAGGGGTTCCGCAAGATTTGCAGGGCGGCTTCATGGATGTATTTCCGTTTTCCTGATAGATCAATGTTTTGGATGAGGCACCGTGAGCAAAGGCTTGTGCTGTTGCATGGGCCTTTCATTTGCATGTCAGGGTTAAAGATTCAGCAAAGCCGCAACTGGATTCAATCCGGCAGAGCTTAGGATTAGTTACTTGGCTTTTTGTCTTCAGATGCGTGCTCCGTTCCCTTTCTTTCTTCCTTACCAGTTTTGAGGGTGATGTGTTTTGTTGACATGGTTTGTTCTTGCTGGCATGGACCATCATGGACCATGTAGATGTGCAGTACCTTGTGCCCTGCCTCCCAGCACCTGGCAGGGGCCCTCCCCGAATTTCCTACGGTGCTATATTTGTGGGAGGAAGGATGGCACTCCTTACGGCAACAGACGGCGCTGCAAGCAATTGTTTTTGCGGGCGCTAGCCTGATGGAGTCGTGTCGCTGAGCGATGTTTTTCATGAGCTTCAATTCAGCTTGAGCAATGGGTCTTGCCCTCCCAACG